TTTTTTCTTCACGAGCTGTTTGAAATTGCGCCTCGAAGAAGGGTCGACGATGTTCTTGTTCTTGTGTTATGGAAACCTGATCAACGTATAGACCAACGATATATATTGTTACACGTGTTATTTTGTTATTGTTGTATAATAATAATATATTTTGTAATATAATAATAATAATGAATAATAATAATAATTACAAAATATATTATATTATAAAATAATAATAATAACGCTCGCAATAATACATATAATCAATATAAATCTATACATAATACATGCGTTATTATTATAATGTGTATAATAATATGTATTATAATATATATAATGCGTTGTAATATGTATAATTATAATAATATTATTATATTATAATATATTTTGTTATACGTATAATAATAATAACGCTCGCAATAATACATATAATCGATATAAATCTATACATGCATTATTATTATAATATGTATAATAATATGTATTATAATATGTATAATGCGTTGTAATATGTATAATTATAATAATATTATTATATTATAATATATTTTGAAATATATATATGATAATAATAATAACGCTCGCAATAATACATATAATCAATATAAATCTATACATAATACATGCGTTATTATTATAATATGTATTATAATATGTATAATGCGTTATAATATGTATAATTATAATAATATTATTATATTATATTTTGTAATATGTATAATAATAATAATATTATTATATTATAATTTGTAATATGTATAATAATAATAATAATATTATATTATATTTTGTAATATGTATAATAATAATAATACCGCTCGCAATAATATGTATAATCAATATAAATCTATACATAATACATATATGTACGCTGGCAATCACGTATATATATGATTTTATAGAATATAATTGTCACCGTTTTTACTTTTTCATAGAGAATAGTTTTTTGTAAGCAACATGATGGTACAATCTTCCTGTATTTGTATTATTATTTTTTTCTTTTTTTTTAAATGATGAAATCTTCGATTTTTTGAAAGGAATGCTACATTTATTACCATTCAGTACGAAAGTGTACATTAAAATGTATCACACAAATGACCTTGAGTGTCACACACAAGGTCAAAATTGGTGAACCGTACCCTACATTATAACGTAATATAATTGTAATTTTACAATACAATATAATTGCAATACTCTAAAATTTTCCAAAGAATTTAAACTTAACCTATAAACTTTCACCGTACCCATATGGTGTTCGCTGTCACAGATAGTTCAGATCGCCATCGTTAATACCCATAAATAATAACACTGGCGCTGGCAGTGGTTCGCGTTTCCTGAATATACAAGCGTACACACACGAATGCGACTGCCAGAGGCGAGGAATTTATCGCCGTTTGGTTTCCCTCGTGGCCGGCTCGTTCCTCTTTCGCCCTTCTTTTCTATGGCTGTTTCGCATCGGGCCACCCGACGCGCGCCAGCCATAAACACCGGATAATCCTAGAACGAGGTGGGCGCGGCCCCGCGACATCGGTAAAACGGATGAAAAACCACCGAGCGTAATTCGTAATTCACGCCAAGGCCAACTTCCTCCGTCAATTCAAATTTTTCAATCACTCCTCTTTTTCAAATCGTTCCACTGCAACTTGCGAGAACGTTCAGGATCATTATCCCGTTGCATAACGTTGCATTGGTCACAGAAAGTAAATAATTGAGTTTTTCTCTGCCAGATGGACACACGTGTAGTAATTAAGATGATAATTTAAATTAATATCACAATACTACAAATAAATAATAACTCCGTAATCAATTTTAGTAGTTTATATAAAAATATTATCAATATAACAAAATATACAATTACTATAATAATAAATATCAAATAACGAGGATCAAATAATGAAAGTTAAATAACGAGTGAATAATTTCTAGTATGGTTACAATATATGTAAGTTTCTGTAAACATTTCCACGGTGATAATAAAATTACTAACTATTTTTAAGTATTCTATTGTTTATATTAAATACACATCTCGGCGGAACGATTTAATGAACATAGATATCGTTGATCTAAATTCTTCAAAGTAGAGATTGCTACACTCGAAGTGTAACTAACTTCACTTTAAACCGCGAGTTCAATCGTACAGTCCGATCGCGACCTAACCTGTTCAAGCTTGGACTTTTTTTTTAGAAAAAAGGGGATGCACGATTTTGTCAATAATAATAATTTAATAATAATTTGTAAGAACAGGAAAAACTGAGCCGTGCTTCGTAAAATATTGTCTAACCCTTCAAACTACGACAGTGTCGGAATTGATTCGCTATCAAAACTTTTTCTTGTCGAAAAGAGGTAACAATCCTTTCGAATCACGAAGTTGCCTGATAGATGGAAAAAGGTAATCGAACGTAAGGATCAATATATTGTCTAATAATGTTTCTTGTTCGCCCTTCATTTGCACGTACACAAAACGTAGTTACTGACGAGTTTAAAGGTAAAAGTGCTTGGCAAAAATTGGACATACAAAGTGAATTTGTGAGATTGTGAATTGTTACAAGCGGAGGTTAACTTTCGAGATCGTATTCATTTCGCGTAGTTCATTCATTCGGAGGTCGTCTCACCTCGGGATTTATGTCGGTCCGTGTTCCGCGATTTCTGGAATAAATCAGAAACCGAGTTTATTACCCTTCGAAACGCGTCTCTGTGATACTAAAAGGCTCGTCGTTGCACGCGTTGCAGCGGGACGTGTGGGCGGAAGAGGAAGTCGCGATGGGCTCGACGCTATTCGCAGTGACGTCGACGATCTTTATATCGGGTTGATAAATAGCAGGGATGAGAAACTAATTTTTGAGGTTAGAATCGTGGCTCGTCGGTGTGTAGTTGATTCATTCAAACGATGCCGGAGTACGCTCGCTCAGTGGGCTTTATATACATATTTCATACATATTAATATCATCAAGGGCTAGTTAACAAATAATTTCATATCATCGTTAACAGGAAACATTTGAAACGATCTTCACTCAATATCTGGTTACATTTTTGTAGGTTTTTTCCTGGTTTGGTTGTGTTTTCTTTTTTTTTTTTGGTTTTTTAGGTTTCTTTCAAACCTGGTTATATTTTTTCCTGGAGAGGTTATGTTTGCTTACGCATCTTAGACTGCTATAATCAGTAATTTTTATATATCTTATATATATATATTTTATATATCAATAATTTTTATATTCGGCAATATTGTTATACTATATATAGTATAATTAGATAATATTATTATATCGTATTAATATACATATAATTCGATAAAATTATACACACGTTAATACGTAATTAGAAATAATGATAAAACAGTGTTGATACGTGCTTTTCAGCACAGCTCGTCGATAGTATGGGCCTTAATTCTACTAATTGCCGAGTTAATTCTACATGGCTCGTTTGTCAAATATTTTTCCGTAAGCTGCCAATTCATGCCAAATTTCATCAAAGTCGAATAATGACCATCGAGTACGTGACCACCAAATGCCCTGCGGTTTCTCTCTCTCATACTGAGCAGACTCATTTAACTCATTAGAGTTGGAGCATTGGAAATCGAGCGAGAATAGAAACTCGGCTTTTCCAAAGAATCCCAAGAAAAATTGGCTAAAATATCGGAACTGGCGAGGACACGGTCACGCGAGACCCGTTTCCTGCGCTCGTTTCAAATAAACTCGACGAGAGGCATCGCGGTGATTTAACGAGCGTTCGCGTTTTGCTTGCAGAGGCGGCAAGTTCATCACGGTGGGCGACAGAATTAGATTACCGGACGACGTGACGATGGGATATATCATCGAGTACCTGCTGAAAAAGCAGCTCACCGTGGTCGAGCAGTTCCATTCCCATCTGGAGCCGATGAAGTTCCTCAATAAGGACACATTCGCCGAGCAGGTGAGTCTTTTTACCTTCTTTCCTTGAAATTCTAATTACAAAAGTCTGCCGCCAGACTTTCAGGTGTCCAAATTTCTTATCAGCATGTTTCTGTGAGTTTAGCAGATGCGAGGGATTCGAAGAAGAGAAAAGAAAGAAAGACCATGAGGCAGAGGTCGACGGGGGGAGGGAGGGGGGGGGGGATGAGAGTGAGAAGTCTAATGGAATAATCCTCGCGATGAATCATCGCTGTCGTTTGTCGCCTCTTTCCACGCCAACAATGACCAATTGATTCGATCGTCGCGTTCTTCCGGAGAACCAGGCTCGCTCACGCAATCCGAGCAGGTGATGCCGGCACAAGGTGCCGTTTCATACGTTCTGGCCGACTTCCGGCATGACGTGCCATTCTTATCAACCGATCGTGCAACGGAATACATTATTTTCTCAACTGATTTTTCGACTTGGATAATTTTTTTTCTCTGCGGACAACGCAATTGTATTTGCATTCACGTGTTTCAATTCAATTTCATCGGGGGCCCAAGCAATTTGTTATAATGATCGATTTTCTTGAAATTGTATTGGAATACATATGATTATATACGGCTGATTAATTAATACACAGGATGTTAAAGGAGGGTAGTATCTTTTTGTCAGGTCATTCTTTCTGTGGTTTTTTCTTTTTTGTAATACTCAGGGTAGTACTTTTTAGCTTTAAACGTGTTTTCTTTGTTGTTGTATTTTTGTTTTATAGAGGAAATTAATTTATTTACATTTAAGTATGATGTGTTGAATCGTAACCTTCATAACTTTCAGACCTTGAATGCCATAAATAATGCTGCTGAACTAAACGAAAACTGAAACTAAAATTGCTACAGTATATAATAGTATTAAATAGTATATAATATAGTATATAATACTATATACTATATTATATAGTATATAATAGTATTAAATAACAGTATATAATAGTATTAAATAACAGTATGCAATAGTATTAAATAACAGTATATAATAATATTAAATAGTATATAATTGTATTTAATAATAATATAATTATCAATAACCTAATATAATAGTAATATAATAGTAAGAAAATGCAGTGATGAAGAAACATCGAGCATCTGCTTATTGCTACAGTGATTCACAACAATGAGGTAGAATTTGATACTATAAATTGATTAGAAAGAATGAAAAGAAATTTGTTTTTTAGAAATTTCCCACTAAAGTGATTTATCATTTGTCATGTCTATTTCGGGAAAATACTTTGTTACATAGTTGTGTCAACGTTTTTATAAATTTTAGTAACAGTTGAACGTTGAATTGGTAATAGTCGATAGGATATAGAGTGTTCGTCGATTCGCGAATCAATTAAACATTTCAAATTGACGTCAGAAATGTACGCGCGCGCGGTTCAAATTTCACGACGCCTCAGGAGCTGACGAAGTCGACCTCCCCCCGGATTTTTCCATCGGCCGCGAGCTGCGCAAGCGTATCGCCGAGGCTCGCGGAACAAATATTTTTACTGCCGGGGCAGAACTCGATCGGGCCCACGGTCTCGCGTTTCAAGCGACACGGTCGAGCGTGTTGCTCGATTCTGGGCCCTGGTATGCGAAAATAAGCGATATCGTTTATGCCTTTTGCCGCTCGTTCGCTAAGCTAAGCGGTCATTTTTTCTCGGTGTAGCCGGGAATCGCATGCCAACGGTGCCTGAAATAAATATACTCGCGTAGTTCAATACGTTCTCTACGTATTTTAACTACACTGTGGGTCGAAAGTTTAATACTCTGTAACGTTAAGAAGGAAACTTCCATTTTCTGAAAGTAATTCTATTTAAGAAACATTTTAATAATTTTATTAATGATAATATTTTTTAATAACAACATTAATAATAATAATAATATCCAAATGTTAACGTTTAACAATAACATTAGATTTTATAGAAATAATTTTATTAATAATAATATTTTTTAATAACAATAGTAATAATAATAATAATAATAATATCCAAATGTTAACGTTTATCAATGACATTAGATTTTATAGAAATAAATTAATAATAATTTTATTAATAATATTTTTTAATAATAATAGTAATAATAATAATAATATCCAAATGTTAACGTTTACCAATTACATTAGATTTTATAGAAATAAATTAATAATAATTTTATTAATAATAATAGTAATAATAATAATAATATATTCAAATGTTAACGTTTAATAATGACATTAGATTTTATAGAAATAAATTAATAATAATTTTGTTAATAATAGTAATAATAATAATCAAATGTTAACGTTTACCAATGACATTAAATTTTATAGAAATAAATTTATAATAATTTTATTAATAATAATAGTAATAATAATAATAATATTCAAATGTTAACGTTTACCAGTGACATTAGATTTTAAAAGAAATAAGAGAAAAAGATATTCACGAACGATTTGCAACGTGTATGCCACGTGCTTCTCATCGAAAAATCCTCTTTTCGTTTTCCCATACAACTTCTACTATTTTAGACACTCTTTCGACTAATTTATTTCAATTCATTTGTAACAGTGTTGTCAAATCCTCGTTAGATGTTTCTTGAAGTATGTCTATGAAAACAAATGGTTTAAGATCAGACGGCTGTCGAGTGGTCAATACACGTTTATTCAAATTTTGCAACTTGGAAGACTATTCAGGATCATTATCCCGTTGCATGTAACATTGGTCATAGAAAGTAGTTGTGTTTTTCTCTACTAGATGGACACACGTGTACGTCTCAAAATGTAACCAACTTCACTTGAAACCGCAAATTCGATTGTAACCCAACTGTTCAGGCTTGTTTTAGAGAAAGAGAATTTTTCTTATTCCATTTCTCGCACGTTTTTTGTTCCAGGTGTCGTTCAGTTACTCGAAAGGTCCGAGGGACGAGTGGAATATTCTGAAGATCGATGGCTTCGATATGAAGGACGACCCGAAAAGGTACGATCTAATTAATACCAACGCAGAGGAGAGCTTCGTTCATATAAACCACGTTGATTTATAGCGAAATTGAAGGGTTTGCAGCGAGAAAGGAAAAAAAAAACAGCATTTCTTTTATCAAGTATCGAATTTTTTCATTGCTTTGTTCGCTCACCATTGAATTAACCTCTTTAACCATTTGCGCTCGCAACTAATTGCGGACCGTAACGAGTGACCAAACCGTACAAAGTAATTCGTCGCTTTCTTTTCGAACTTGTCGATATGATACCACTGGATAGAAATCAGTGAGAAGCAATAAATTTATTATTTATTTTGCCTGTGTATTTGGTTTATACTTAGGTATATTTAAAACTGAGAAAATATTGCAATTTTGAGACAAAAAATTTTCGACGTGCGTAGCAAGAGGTTAACCACCGATTGCGGACCATAACGAATGACCGAACCGTATACAATAATTCGTCGCTTCCTTTTTGAACTCGCCGTTATGACATTACTGGATAGAAATTACTAAGAAGTAATATAAATTTATTATTTGTTTTTCCTCGGTCATACTTAAATATACTTAAGACAGAAAATATTGCAATTTTCGGACGTGCGTGGCGCAAGAGGTTAAAGGTTCTCTCTTCTTGTTGCAAAGTGCTTCACCACTTCAGTCTTAATCGATCCTTACTGGATCTTACAACTCTTATTCATCCCTCACGTTAAATTGAACTACTTGGACATGGAATTTTTTACTAACATTATGTCCAATTTGATATCAGGTTGAATTAAAAGAAAACGATACAGATGAGGATTAACCCGATTATTTTTTAATTTGTTTGACTCTTAATTCCTGTTACAAAACGAAGAATCATAGGCGGCAAGGAAATCCCCCGATTTCTACACGAATCTCTGTTCAATCCACCATTAAATGTTTTTACCGTTACTAGAAAAACGATTCATCGCTCGCGACACTTTCGTCCCTCACTTTTCTCGACGCTTTCCGAGAAACAAAAGCATCCGCGGAAGGAGATGTCGAGCTTTCGCGGAACTAATTTGTCCCCCCCCTTCTCTCGTCGAGGCAAAAGAAGAAGAGAAAGAGTAATTAGCAGCTGGCAGGCTACGTGTATCGCGAATTCTTCCTTCGTTCGTCCTTTCCCATACCACCGTGAGTGACTGTCGTCGTTCCACCGACGTTTTCCAACGTTTCTTTGGTCCCTGTTCCTCCGCGGGGCGGCGCTGGGGCTCGAATTGCCCTGGTAATTGCTCTAGTCCCGCGTTTCTGCACCGAAAGCGGAAGACCTCTGTGCGAGTTAATCACAAGGGCGCCACCTCGTGCACGTCACACGCGCTCAATTGACTTTATCATAATTACCAGCCCCGACCGGTTTCCTTTTCTTCTTCGTTTCGCTCGTTCCACTTCACAGAGTGGAGTTTTCCTAGAGTTTTATTCTCGGCACGCGACCGAGTTCGGCGAAGATGAGAGGAACTTCCGTTTCTATGAATATTAACTGGCCGTTTCTGGCCAAGTATCGACTGCTCAGTGGAAAACTGCTCCCGTTTCACACGGAATTACCATTCTATGGTAACTAACGTTCCGATATCTCCTCGGTCTAATCCAGTGCTTCTCAAAGCGTTGGTCGCTTAATTAAATTGGGGGGGGGGGAGGGATATAAATTGAAAAGTAGTATGAATATTTATTGAATTAAATGAATATTTATTAAATTAAAGTTAAAAAAATTAGCATAAACATTTGGCTTTGCCTTTGGTGCATGGTAAAATTTTATTCGTGCGTTATATCAAAGAATCGTTTTATTGAGGATCATGCAATGATTTGTAATAGAGTTTATTATGTTTATAAAAAAGTTCTAGAAAATTCAACTCGCAGTGAATGACCTTGGAATATTGACGTATTTAAGTCGATGCATTCGTGGAACGGGCTGCACATTTATAGTGAATGATAGCTTGGAGGCACGTTCGCTTAGAACAGTGGTTTCCAACTTACGCGAAAATAATATTTTAATAATCAATGGCGGACAATACAGAAAAAAAAGAGTTAAAATGAAAACACAAATTTTACTCGAAACTTATTTTATAGTTTTATAAATTATATAATGTAATATTAAAAATATTAAAAATTAAAAATTATAATAAAGTTATAACACAATGTTATATATTATATATAATAAATTTATAAATAAAAAAATTAACAAAAAAATTTATACAATAACATTATAATTTCTTCAACTTTAATATATTTAATTTTAACCACAAAACGCGGCTAAACCTGCCAATTCCTCGAATCTCGATGCGGTAATATTCCAGATTACAGCGATTAATATTGAAATCCTCGCTAGTCCCAAACTAATCGATCATCCGATCTCCTAATCCCCTAAAATGCAGCCTCGAAGGCAGTTTGCTCGAATCGGCAAAATTCCAGTTCGAAACCCATGAATATCCTACTCGAGATTCACTAATCGACTCTGTCGATACGTTCTAATTGCAGATTCAGGTCGATCCATTGCCATCTGTTCCCGCACGTGCCCAATTGCCCGCACAGATGATGACCAGCGGCGGATGATCGTAAACGCGGTAAAGAAGAAGAGAATCGCACGACGATCGTCTTTTGGATCGGCTGTTGACTGGGAGACGGCGTCCAGATCGGTTGGCCCTCGATCCAACGTCGCAGCGACGTATGCTCTGTTCTACTGATTTTCTACTGAAGTGTGTCAGACGCAAGTGTCTCCGCGCGACGTCAGACTCGTCGTCGATTCGGATCACTTTTGGCCACGGCGTTGAGTATCGTTATACCATTTGAGAAAAGGGGGCAGAGTGAAGATATTTTTTAGATTTATCTTTTTTTTTTGTTTTATTTGCAATATTCGCGGTGGTTCAGGGCGAACATTTTTAGATGATATTTCCTCCGAAGATGGACGTGGATATTTTCTTTTTTTTTTTTTTTCTAGTATATTTTGAGAATAGTGTCCAAGTGTCGCGAAACAAAAATACGAGAAATTGAAATAATTAAATTTTGAAATTTAACATCTCGCGAGGATAATTTCGATTTTGGAACATCTAGAATTTTTTTTTTTTTTTCGGTTATTGAATATTGCGAACATTTTTTTTGACGCCTCGTGCATTTTATACGTTTCTCGTGCTTTCAAACTTTCCATAAACGCAGTATGCTCATAACCACACACTTCTGGCGAAAGTAAAAATTCCCGAGCGTTGGTCTTTTTCGAAAGAACCTTTTTAATTTAGGTCCATCATCCGAGTCTCGTTTGTATGGATCCTACTTGTGTACATTATTAGCGAATATTTAAAAAAAACAAAGAGAAATTCAATTCGATCCTTTGCACTCGAGAGCTGCACGGGGCTCGATTGAAAATTTGTCTCGCAATTTGAATTTGAAAGTGTGAAAAATATAAAATTCTGTTGTTAAATGTAAATGTAATTGACGAAAAGATAACATTATAGGTTTTTAAGGTTTTAAAGAGCAAAACTGAACATACACGTAGAATTTTAACACAAATATTATTTTATTCAATATTTACACGTAGAAAATACAAACAAAAAAAATATATATACATATATAGTGATTCGTAGGATGTTTTGAATTTTCAAAAAAAATTTTATGATCCTGTTACCGTTACTATTTTAAGAGACACAGATTTTGCATTACAATTAATTTGGATGAAAAATTCTTTAAACTGTTGTAATGAAAAGTGACTTCAAACTGTTATTTAGAAAAAAAAAAAAAAAGAAATCATATCTACTGTTTACTGATCTAATCAACGATCAGTAATCTACTTGGTCTTATTTTAAAGCATGAAGTTTTTACTTTGACTGTCCTGAGAGTGTTTCTTTCTCAACGTAACGACTGAGAAAGTGTTCTTTTCTTTAGAAATTCAGACGTCTTTAGAAAAAAATTTCTCGGTTACTAAATCCATCATCATTTTGAAGATTCAAGATTTCCTTTCTACAACGACGTCTTAAATTTGCTGTAAGATCCTTTTTCCCGTCATTTGATTCGACTTTGAACGTTGGAGTTGAAAGACAAAAATTCAAGAAATTCTAACATTTGGCCATCCAACCTTGCAATGTTCAAAATTCAATAAAATAGTGAAAAATGATTGTACAGCAAACTAAAAGGTACTGTTGCAGAGAGAAGACTTCAATCTTCAAAACCGCTGATGAATCAACTCGCGGGAAAAGTTTTCCAATATTTTTAGAGACGTTTGAATTTTTTCGCCGGCTGTACGATAAGTAAAGTCATTCGAATTTAAAACGACCAAAGTAAATGCGTTAAAACGAGACCAAATAAACTGTCGTGCGATTCTTCATCAATCGTCGATCATTCATCGTTATCACTTATATGTGTAAAATTATAATTTTTCTACGGAAAAACCTTCGAGTGCAAAGGATTGACAATTTTTGAATTTTTCTCGGCGAAGATTTCTCTCGACGTTCGCGGCGTTTATTGTACATAAGAACTACTCCATGTTTGTGTAAATATATATATATATATATATGAAATTTCTGAAAACTGGAACACCCGGAGTTATCGTTGACATAAGTTGGTAACCGTTTGGACAACGCGACTTGAAGGAGAGAAAAAAAAAAAAAAAGAGAAAGGAGTTCGCGTGGTCGAAAAGGGTTGAGAGATCCTCTCGATCGATAACGCCGGGTGAATTTCGATCGTAACGTGCGCGAGAGAGAGAGAGAGAGAGAGAGAGAGAGAGAGAGAAAGAGAGAAAGAAAGGAGAGTTTGCTGGAATATTTGACGACATTCTCGTCGTCGCGTGACGGAATTACCTTAAGCTAGTCCCCCGTGTAAAAGAGCAGATGGTGGTCGTACCATGTGATATTTAATGGATGTGAGAGTGGATTCGTGCTTACACACGTCCCCGGGGAAAATCGGAACGCAGTCTTCGTTTCAGAACGTTTTCAGAATTCAGAAATAATGAACAGGAAACATTAGAAATTTCCGATCAGTTCCAGAGACTTGAACGAACAAGGTAAAAGTGGCTCGTGCACTGTATTTTCTTTGTTTCTTTTGCCCCAGTGTCTCTGGAATGGAAATTTCAATCGTTGGTAGTTGCAGCGTCAAGTGCAAACGGCAAAGGGGAACAATTTCATTGTCTCCGATTCTCCCCGGTCTCGTTTCGCGTTCTATTGATCCAATCGGTGTGCAATATCGCGAGATACATACGTAAAATGAGAGAATGAGTGTGTGTGTGTGTGAGAGAGAGAGAGAGAGAGAGAGAAAAATAGAGAGAATGGTACTCGCGAACCGACGAGCAACAGTCGGACTAATTGTTCTTCTTTCCGGCGTTGTATTAAGCAGTCAGTGCACCTGTTGCACTCTCGAGCAGAGAGAAAGAGAAGGAAAAGAAAAAAGAAATGGGGCTTCTGTCGAATGGGATTGGAGAACATGGCGGATGTGTACGATTACGTTGTAACAATGAGGTTTTATATAATACACGGTAACCATTATACGGCAGAAACGATTTTAACCGCTCCTCGTTACGATTCCTCTTCCGGTTCCCTCCTCGTCGTGGAAGAGAATCTCGTCAACACAATACTCTCTCTCCCAGTAGGTTTGCTTTGTCTGATGTCTTTGCTTTTTTGATATCTTTAATTTAAATTTCCGAATTTCACAAAGAATTTCAAAAAGAGTCGACGTTGCAGTTACAGAGAAAGAACAAGAAAAAGGAAATATAATGGTAACAGAAAAGATTTTTGCGCTTTTGACAGATTGGAGAACACGAGAGAGACAACTTCCTGTCCGGGTATCTCCATCTGTTACGATTTGGAAGAAACCGACGACCGAGTCGGTAAAGTTGCTTCCTTCGTCCTTTTCACTCGATTCTCTTCGGTTGTGGCATCGTCCCGAACGACGATCGGATCGTAAGTCCTCCAAACGTGTCTTTCGCAGTAAATTCTATAACGACACAGAGCTATGATGGTGGAAAATTTGTCTTTAATTTGAGAAAGAACGATCGAGGAAGGTAAGTATCCATCATCGATCATGAAGGGAATTCAAGGTAAGGTACCGTCGATAAAGTCGTGAAAACGCTTATCGATCGTTGTTTTCTGTTTTCTAAATTGATTAATTATTTCATATTTTATTTGCAATTACAAAAATTACAATCAAAAAATGTAGTGGAAAGCTTGATTAATTCGAGGAAATAAATATCGTGAAATGATACTACGATTCTCGTCCTGAACAATATTTTCTCCGCTTATTTAATTGAAAACCGTCGACTCTTTACTTTTAATTCTTATTTCTCATTCCCGGCGACTTGCAATTTGCCGTACAGATATATTTCCTTGAAATACAAATAAACAATATCGATAAATAATTTATAAATAATATACTAAATAATAATTATAATGATAAACTGCCCGAATTTCATTTACGATCGAATCATATTGTCTCTATCGTTATTAAACTGGTCCATTGAGACGTCATTTTTTTGAGGTTAGAATCATCAGGTATCAATTATCAATTGTTAACCACACTGAGCGGAGAGTTATAACCTCTTTTTTACGAAATTATATATAGTTTAAATTATCAACAGTCTTTCATTATTGATTCAATTATAGTTTTTAGCTATAGAAAATTATTCTTCTTGGTGATTAATAATTGATATTATTGGTAATTAATAAATTTCATATAAATAAATTTTGTCAATTGTCAATAGTTGATAAATTTCATCATTAGAATTTGGTTTCATTTTAAAGGTGAACATCACTATTTTCATAGTCTTGAGTTCATTTTCGAAATGATTTTACATAGTTGGTGGAAAAAAAATAAAGGCGCTCTTTTCTCGAAAATTGTAAAAATTCAAACGTAAATAAATATTAAGGATATGGATAAGGATAATGAAAATAAGAATAAAAATGTAATATTATGTTATAAATATATAATATAATATAAATATAAATATATAATATAATATATATATAACAATATATATATTATATTATATATAATATATGTATAATAATATAGTATATACAATATATATAATAATATAACATGTATATTATAATATATAAGAATAATATATATTTATAACAAAGAATTCTTTTCATAAGGAAATCAGCCACAATTTTGAAAACTGAAATCTCCACGCGAGCAACCGAAATAGAAAAATTGTTACAACATTGCAACACACTATATGATAGCCTTCTCAGTACTTAGAGCACATAGAACAATACTTTCTTATTAGAGAATGTCGAACGGTTGATAAAAGAAACATTCCCTTAAAAGAAATTTGAAATCTTCAAAAAAAAAAAAACCACAAAAATATAATTATATATTATATTTATTATTTATTATTATACATATTACATTATTATATTTATTATTATACTTATTATACATATTATATTATTATATTTATTATTATAAGTTATTGTCGCTATATTATAATACCGAATGACATTAATCGTTAACGAGGTTAACTCATCCACAGTTTGGAGAAAACCGAATTTGTGACACGCGAGCATAAGCGTGAGCGATACGTTCGAACCGGAAGAGTGCGACATGCCAGCCGTTGCGACCGTGGATCGCGAGTCCTTTTTTTTTTTTCTTCTCCCCCCCCCCCCCCCCCCCCTTTTTTTGTAACCAGTGGCAGCGGCGGCAAACGATGATAACGGCTCCGTGATGAAAATGAAAATTGGGAGAACGTTCGCTGTAAGGAAAATGAACGCTGTCTGCGAGCATCCAGACGGCGCCCGCCCGCGATGGGAATATTACGCAAAGTAAGTGACTTCGGCTTCTTTGGTCGAGTACATTCTACGCGGCAGAGAGAGAGAGAGAGAGAGAGAGAGAGAGAGAGAGAGAGAGAGAGAGAGAGAGAGAGAGAGAGAGAGAGAGAGAGAG